AGATACTTAATTTCGCCAGAAAGACAGGACTCTTTGGTCATCTTTAGAGGTGATTTTATGGTTGGTAATGTATTATACTTTGGTGATAACACTTAGATGGGTAAACCGAATCAAGACAATTTGGTATGAGGTGTGCACAATGGACCAACAGGTCTGAGGGCATGGGCATTACGTCCACCTCGATAATAACTAAAAATATGAATATTTTTACCATTACACGTAAGTATATTAAAATAAGTTATTTGTTCAAAATAAATAAATTGAATTATTTATTCGTCAAAACATAATAATATTTAAGTATGAAAACTCCGTGATATTTTACAAGTTTAAATCGTTTAAATCCTTTGACAAGTTTTAAAGTATATATTTGTAAAAAGTATCTTGACTTTTAGTTTATGAGTCTAGCAGTTTGAGGAATAGTACTATATGCATTATTAATGCCCAGATTAATAGCAATGTTTTTTATAGATTGTTGAAAAGTATATTTAATTTTCATTTATTAAATTTATACATTTAATTTTATTAATAATACAAAAACTACCAAACATTTTTTATGTGGGGATTATAAGCGCATTTTTTGAATAACATTTGTGATGATGTTAATGTTCTTTGCCCGAAAAGTCGCCCCATGCGTTGATTTTCAATTACCCAAAAATATTTGCCTTTCAATAGTATGTTTGTTCACATATCAAATTTATTTTCAACTAATGTTTTTTTATTTTCAGTGTCAATCTTTAGATGTCATGAAATTGACACTCCACGACGATTTACAATTTGAAATATGTTTTCTTTATAACAAATTGGATTCGACTCCAGCGTTTTTTGGAGATTATTATTGATATTTGATAAGGTTATATTTTATTAAATTTTATTTTGTTGTTTAGAACGGATTTTTACATATTTTAAACTTGTAAATATTAATGTTTAATTAAAGTTAAGTTATTAAATATCATTTATCTTATTTTTGATTTCCCCTTAAATATCATATTTTTTAATGATTCCCCTTAGTTATTAATGAACCATGAACAATCTAAAAATAATTGTTTTTCTTTTATTTCATGTGAATATGTTAGAGTAGGGTAATACAGATTGAGTTGGAACCCCCTCGCCTCACAAACTCACCATCCTTAACCAGCGCATTAGGTCCTCTTGTACCGGGCGGCGCGGCTGCCTTTGTCTCAGGCGTTCAGCTTCCTCCTTCTTTTTCAAGATGGATTCGGCGAACGCCTGGACGAGCCTCCACGCCTCCCGGCTCCTTAACATCAGGTCCACCATGGACCCGACTCGGAATGTGGACCCTTCTCGAGACTATAAAGAGTCCCGTTGTATAGTTGTATAATAGTCTCTTCGCCTCGCACCGGAAGAGGGTGTGTAAAGCGTTATCAGCCTCTCCCGGGCGATCCGAACAATGGTCGCACGTCGGCGCGGCTCCTTTACGAATACGATGTAAGTACTCGTTAAAGCAGCCATGGCGAGACATCACTTGGGTGAGACGATAAGTCATCTCACCGTGAGTCCGGTCCACCCACCTGTCCAGCCGATCGGGTCCTATGAGGGACCTGGTCCACTCGCCTCTCGTTTCCTCCGAGAGGCGAGTCCGCCACCGGAGCATGGTCATCCGCCTGAGCGCCAGCCGGTCCTCGGGTTCGAGGGACCGGTTGTGCTCTCGGCGGAGCTCATGCCCGGCGGCGCGTTCCTCGGCGAGCAGATCGGCGGGCGGCAATGACGACAGGATACCCGCCGCCACTCCGGACACCGTTCGGTAAGCCGAAACTGTCCGGATCGCCGCCCGCCTTTGCACCCTGAGCAGGGCTTCACGGTTTTTGGACGAATACTCAAGAGTATCCGCCCAAACCGGGGACCCGTACAGGAGAACCGAGTGTACGACGCTGACTAAAAGTCTACGCCGCATCTCTCTCGGCCCTCCCAGATTGGGCATGAGTCCCGCCAAGCAATTCATGACTTTCTGAGCCCGCTGGGCCGCACGAGTAATGTGCGGCCCGAACTTTAGACGTTTGTCTATGACAAGGCCCAGATAAGTCATTGAGTCCTTAAGCGGGATCTCCACACCCAGCACGGCTAGCCGTGGATGAGTGAACTTGTATCTACCCGTGAACAAGACCGCTTCGGTCTTGTCCAGGGCGAGGCTAAGTCCACTCCCCTCCTGTTGGATCCAGGCGGTGACTGCGCTGAGCGCGCAGTTTGCCCGGGATCCAGTCTCCTCGGCCGAGGCGCCTTCCGCCACCACCAGCGTGTCATCCGCGTAGCAAACGACACGCACGTGTNAATAAGGTTTAAAAAATTACTTCTTTTAAGTGCATGGTTACAATAAGACGACGCGCACGTGCGGTGGTAGCGGAACGCGGAACACCGCGTCGTACGCGATGTTCCACAGCAGAGGCCCGAGAACTGACCCTTGCGGGACGCCTCCCGTAACAGGTAGGATTCGCGGGCCCGCGGCGCTCTCGTAAGAGATGACCCGATCGCTAAAGTACCACCGGATCATCCGCCCGAGGTAAGGAGGCACCCGAAACGCGTCCAGCGCTCCGAGGATGTGTGACCATCGCACGGAGTTGAACGCGTTTCGGATGTCCAACTCCACCGCCACCCCGAAACCCTGCTCAGTTTTGGCCTTGAGGGCCAAGTCCCTGAAGAGGGAGGCCGCGTCATCCGTCGACCTCCCCCTCCGGAAGCCGAACTGGCCCTCGGCCAGTCCGCCGACGTCGGCCAGGTGGGCTTCGATCCGGGTGACGAGCAGCCGCTCGAGGATCTTCCCCAAGTCGTCCAAAATGCAAAGCGGTCGGTACGACGAGTNTTCCCCAAGTCGTCCAACATGCAAAGCGGTCGGTACGACGAGGGGAGACCCTCGGGCTTGTCACCCTTTCTCAGAAGTACCAGCCTGGCCTTCTTCCATTTCGTGGGGAATTCACCCTCCGAGAGGCAGAGGTTCGCGACGGCGCGTATCCAATCCGGGGCGAGGTCGTGGACCAACCCCCACACCCGGTTTGGAATCCCGTCGGGGCCGGGAGCTGTGTTCCGGCCCCGCACACGCGCCACCGCGTCAGCTACTTCTTGGCTGGTGAATTCCACCAGTCTTTTTCATTCCTGCGACTGCAGGGAGTGGTGGTGACTAAGCCCCTCCCACCGGTGAAATAGCCGGGACGGTATTGGCAACGGATTGCGCGGACATTGGACTGGTTATGGTAGCGGCCACCTCCTCAGAAGCAAAAGCGAAGCCCTCCATTTTGGAGAGATTGCGTGGTGCTTCTAGAGGTGGTTTGGTAAGTGTGGGAAACAACTCGGGTTCGACCTGCAAGGGCCCGGAAAAATCCAAGGGGTGCTTCTCCTGTAAAAAGGAGGGGCACCAGGCCAAGGATTGTCCGGATGTGGGGCCAGTACTGAAGGCCCTAAAGCCAAAGGGGGGGCCCGTCAAAAAGGCCCTTCCGGGGAAGAAGAGGGGGGGAAAGGCCGAGTGGTCTCTCGGAGCACAGCCTGCTAGTGGATGAGATTCCTTCAAACGAATCTCAACCACTGTCGGGCTGCCCAGGACCTGGTCCGGCGGGCGGCGTACGAGATGGGCACCGACGTGTGCATCGTTTCGTACTCGCACACCGGATCGGTCCGGGACTCTGCCGGCTGGTTCTTAGACCGGTCCGGCAGAGCGGCGATCGGCGTGATGGACCGCGGACATCGAGTCGGGCGACGGGTACGTAGTAGCGAGGATAGACGGCATCGACGTTTTGAGCTGCTACGCGCCGCCCAGCTTGCCGATCGCCGGACTCCTCGAGCCCCTGTCCTCCTGCCTGCTGGCGAGGAGGCTTGGGCGGCCGCGGGAAAGCCGTGGGGAGATCGTGGCCGGGGATTTCAACGCCCACTCCCTGGGGGTCGGCAGACACGAATCAGCGTGGCGAAGACCTGTTAGACCTGATGTTGGCCCTCGGGCTGGTCTCGGCCAACAGAGGCTCCACCCCGACTTTCGAGGGTCACTCCTCGAGCTCGGTGGTGGACGTCACGCTGGTATCCCCGTCGTTACACTCGCACGTGTCCGGTTGGTCGGTTCTTCCGTACAGGGAAAACCTCAGCGACCACCGGTACATCGTATATGAGTGCTACGCGGACGACACGCTGGTAGTGGCGGAAGGCTCCTCGTCCAAGGAAGCTGGATCTCGTGCGAACTGCGCGCTCAGCGCAGTCACCGCCTGGATCCAGTAGGAGGAGAGCGGACTTAGCCTCGCCCTGGACAAGACCGAAGCGGTCTTGTTCACGGGTAGGTACAAGTTCACTCCTCCACGGCTCGCCGTGCTGGGGGTGGAGATCCCGCTTAAGGACTCCATGACTTATCTGGGCCTTGTCATAGACAAACGTCTAAAGTTCGGCCACACATTACTCGTGCGAAATGTCATCGATTTTTATAAAAGTTATACGAATATAATTTACATTGAATATAAATTTAAACTTATTTTGAATATTTTTCTTCTCAAGTCAAAAAAACGACTTTTAATTTTTGAACTAGCTTAAATTGCTCTTTTTAGCTATCAATACAATTAATGTACGGTGGCCATGTCGGTTATAATACAGTCTATCAACCTTGGGTTATGAAGTTTGTACCCAATTTCTTTTAATTAAAGTAAATCATTAAATTACATTAAGTTCTAAATATTTCAATTGTAGAATCTTTTTTATAATAGTGATTTTAATCTCTGTCAGATATCATCTATACTTGTTCCAACAATGCCACGACCACACTGTGCTACAGTTATTTACAATGTATTGCATCAAGCCCTTTAGATTTTTATACACATTTGCCACAAAAGTAATAAAATATACTATTTTATAAGTTTTTATTATTTCTCCTCAAAAACTACAATATTAGACTATTAAATTTTAATTCCTTAATAAATTTGATTACTTTAATTAATATTTATCCATATATTATACTTTTAAATCTAGGAACTACTAATCAGGATATAGTTAAATAAATATAAGTTAATATTGCTTTTGTAATTATACACCAATTTCATAGAATTCAACACAATATACAAATTTGCTTCGAAATATATCTTATGATAATGATTTTAATCATTGTCAAATATCATCTATACTTATTTCAAATATCCCATGTCTATTCTGTACCGCAACATCACTGCACTACCGTTTTTTAATTCAATATCTTAAATGTACTTTATAATAAATATCACTACCTGATTATAACTTATACATCTAAACATGTAATATTGTATCTAATTCATAAAAACCACGACATTTATTATTATTAACAATAATTTTCAAGAATAGGGATTTATTATTATAGAAATTCTTGTGCAACTAATTATATTATTTTTTCGGTCAAGATAAAGCAAACGACTAGTGTATTTTCCATAAATGAACGATTTTGGAAAGTGAGATTCTTTAAATGCACTGGTATTAAATCCAGATGAAACATAATGCCCCTGAAAATTAGTAGAATATACTTTGAAAATTTATAGAAAACTATTACGTTTAATTAATTAACCAATAAATATAGAAATATATATTTTTACAATTGACCAGGGACAGTCGGCAGGAATTTTAAAAGTATCAGTAAATATTTTCCAAGTTTTCTCTCCGTAAAGTCCCATTTTAAGTGATGTACATGCTTTCTTAACATGAGCTAGAGAATTTTCTTTCCTAAGTCCGATTGTATCAAAGTTGCCAAGCAGAATACTCATCTATATAAATGAACATTTAATAAAATATTAAATTATTTAATATAAAAGAGTTTTAATGAAAAATTATTTACAATACTTACTCTAAGTGAATCATCAAGCGGTCTCTGTAGTGTAATGTTACCAAATAATAGTTCAGAGTATTTAGTATCTTTGCGAGGATAAAAGTTGAATTGTATCGGATAGTTAATGCTCAAATTACATGATTGAAATTCTTTGAAATCGACCCAAAAAGGACCCTAAAATAAATAATGTTTAATTTAAATGGTGGAACTTAAATAAAGATTTTCCCACCAAGTTCTGACATCTTTAATAACTATATAAATTTATACTGATAATATTTTTAATGTAGTTTTAACTTTAATAACTTTTCATCCAATGAAAATGTTGTGTTACTTTTCTTAAAATGATATTTAAAGTTTTGAACTACGTTAAATTCATAATTTTTACATACAGGCATTATAATACATAGTGTGCTTGCGGACAGAGTACTCATATATCAGTACTAGTTGTACCCTCTTTTGTTATATACCCACTTAATGTATTACAATAATTGTATCTCTCAAGTACTTGTCATAAATTTGCTATCAAAATATTTTGTAATACGATGACTAAAAATGGCTATTATGATATTTTGAAAAACATAAAAACAAAATTTATTTTTATTTATTTTATTATTAAAACAAATAATATATAATATGTTTTTAACAAAGTGATGATAATTATTTTAAAACATATAAGAGTTTATTCGAGTTATAAGATCTCAAAAAATCTATACATATTGAAGGATTCTTTTAACGCAAACCACCAGATTTCTCTTAAAGTAATAACTGTATTAAGAATATTTTTTTATGATATATTATTTTTTTTTTGGTATTATTTATTGTTAAATATTTTTATATTTATATTAGTTAATAATTATTTTTTTTTATTTATGTTTTATATCAAATAATTATATCAACGTTATATTATTTAACTACCTTACAAAATAAAATATAATCTAATAAGAAAAAAGTTGGTGGTTGATGATAACTTATTATTTTTTGATGAGAGGATAGCTGTGACCCAGAAAAAGTGGCGTATTTAAAGTTAGATTTTTTTTTACTCTATTAAGCATGCTAGAGAATTATTACTGCTTAAAAGTAAATTGATGACAAAAAAACCAAGCACAGTGGGGTCGTGGAATAGTTGGGTCCACTATAGATGATATCTGACAGTAATTAAAATCACTATCATAAAAAACGTTTCGATGAAAATCTGTAGATAGTGTTTAATTTAAAAAAAAAATTTGTCAAAAAAGTAGGTCATGTGAGAGTTGAGAAAATAAATGATAGCTACATAAAAAAAACACATAGTAAAATAATATTAATATAAATTTCTCTCACGAGAGGAGACTACAGTAATGGGATCCTTGATATTTATTGAAGTTATTGAATCTAAATGAGATAAAAATCAAATGAGTTAAATATTTTTTTCTAACTCAAAAAGAATTAAGAAAAAATTCAGTGCCACAGTCGTGAAAGACCCAAGTGTTACCGTCTCAGAAACCGTACGTCGCAATTGTCACTTAATAAAAATGAAAATTTAGTTAGTTCAAACTTTAAAGTTATTTTTCTCGACTTCAAAGAAACAAAAAAATTTAAATATGTTTAAAATTTTATACCATGTCAATTAGATTGAAATAATATTTATGAAAATCAATGTAATCCCCTTATAATAAAATAAAATACAAAACAAAAAATTTTAACACAAAAATAGAAATTTAAGATATATATAAAAATGTCAAACCTTCCTGAAAACTTTCAAAAATTAAGTTGAATAAGTTCTACTTTCTATATGCATTTTATATTTTGAACCCCCTCTGTATTAAAGGAAATGATCCCCTTTAAAAAAAAAGTATGTTGAATGAAAGAAGTATATAAATATTATTTCTCATAAAAAAATTTCATTGATCCATATATTTTTTAAAAAGTTATAGCGTTATAAAGTTCAAAATATGAAAAATAATTTTTTATTAACTTTGATGACTGTTTTCATTATGAAAACAAAATAAAGGCCGAATTTTTTTTTCATAATAAAGTACATTTCAATAGTTTTAATTTAAGATATATATTTATAAAAGTGTCAGTATTCCCGGAACACTTTCAAAAATTAAGTTGAAAAGTTAATTTTTGTGAAAAAGTTGTCATTTTGAATATCCCCTTGTGGGCTAGTAAATGGTTAAATTTATAAAAAAAATATAACAAATGATAGGTAAAGACATCAAACATCTATAAAAAAAAATTATATTGATTTTTTGAAACAGTTGTGGCAGTTTTAAGTAAAAACCTAGTACAGGTCGGTCGCGGCACAGTGGTGACGTGGCATAGTTGGGTCAAGTATAATGATATATGACAGTGATTAAAATCACTATATAAAAAAAACGCTTCAATGCAAATCATTAAATAGTGTTTAATTTTAAAAAATTGGTGGATTATTCCAGAAGCTACATGATCTGCTAGTTCATTATTAATATCCTAATTAAGATAAAGTATGTCGAATAAAAAAGGGATTATTAAAAAATATTATTTCTCATAAAAAAATAATGTTGATCTATACACTTTTCAATATGTCATAGCATTATAAAGTTAAAAATGTAAAATATAAAATGTTCACACAATAATAGCATTTGGTAGCCATTTTCACCGTGAAGATGAAATAAAGTCCGAAATTTTTTTTTACCATAATAAAGTATATTACATTAACTTTAATTTAAGATATATATAAGAGTGTCAGACTTTCCGGAACACTTTCAAAAGTTAAGTTGAAAAAGTTCTACTTTCTACATGCATTTTTTAGATTTGAACCCCCCTCAAATATAGGGATACGGTCCAATTTAAAAAAACAGTATGTCGAATGAAAGATGTATATAAATACTACTTCTCATGAAAAAATTGTATTGATCTATATATTTTTCAAATAGTTATAGCATAATAAAATTAAAAATGTAAAATACAAAATCGTGAATTTTCACACAATAATAGCATTCGGTAGCCATTTTCACCATGAAGATAAAATAAAGTCCGAAATTTTTTTTTACCATAATAAAGTATATTACATTAACTTTAATTTAAGATATATATAAAAGTGTCAGACTTTTCGGAACATTTTCAAAAATCAAGTTGAAAAAATTAATTTTTTGTGAAAAAGTTGTCATTTTTAATCCCCCCCTGTAGGTAAGTAAAGGGTCACATATAAAAAAAAAAATATACCAAAAGAAAGGAAATAATATCATGCATCTATATAAAAAAGTTATAGCAATTTAAAAAAAAAGTAAAAAGTAAATAAAAGTAAAAAAAATTTCGAAAATTAGCGATTTTTAAATTTGTAATTTTTTTGGAGGTTTCCCCATTTACGGGGAACGAGGGAATTTTTTTCAATTTTTGAGGGTAATGTCTTCGACTAAATACGATTTGTGATCTTTTGTCGTATCATGGAAAGAAATCGGTTTGGTGAGAGCAGAGAAAAAGTGGTAAAAGACACAAAAAAAAAAAAAATAAAATAAAAAAAAATCACATCTTAGTAAAACCAATACCTTCTCAGCTTCGCATCGAAGCTAAAAATTTCGAAAATTTCGAAAATCAGCGACTTATAAATTTGTAATTTTTTTGGAGGTTTCCCCCATTTACGGGAAACGAGGGAAATTTATAAGTTATTTAAATATGTTTGTTGCATTCAAAAAATAAAATTTAAATAAATCAAAAAAGTATATTGATTTCTTTTATGAGAAAATTAAATAGTATTCTTTCGAATAAGTTATTATAATTAAAAGTTACAATTATAATAATTTTTTAGTTATTTCGATTTGACCGACATAGAATTACTATAACTAATAAATTTTTTTTATGGCTAAATGTTTATAATTAACATTAAAAACATACTAATTATAACATAACATTTTATTGATAAAATGGTATTATATAAAGTAGATTTATATCATAATGTATTTGTGTTACTATCAAGCTGAAAAAATTTATAAATTTTAGTAATACTTACAATTAATTTTATTTGTGTGTTTGCAATTATAAATAATTCGAAAATGAATGAGAAAAATATTATTTTTTTTTTATTCATTACACATTTATTATTTTTATAAAACTAAAAAATAAAAGTATCTAATAAATAGATTATTTTAAACAATTATCTGATTAAGACACTAGTTCACTATAATAAAGTAAAAATTTTGTCATTGTATATTGAAAATAATGTTTGGTTGAAAATTAGTCTGAATCCTTGAAACATTATTTTTATAAAATTTGAATGAACAGCCTTTTGTGTTATTTATTTGACATCACATAAAAAAATTAAATAGCAATCAAGTTGGTTATCTCATAATTTGTAACACTAATTGAGCAAAAAAAAAAAAACGAAACTCATTGTTTAAAATATTTTGTATGCAGTCAATGTTTGTATCAAAATTTCATTATAAAACTACAANTCATAATTTGTAACACTGATTGAGCAAAAAAAAAAACGAAACTCATTGTTTAAAATTATTTTGTATGCAGTCAATGTTTGTATCAAAATTTCATTATAAAACTACAATTTTTTTTTTAACATAAAAGATTAAATGAATAATTGCATAGCTGAAGAACATAGTTATTAATGGAGTTTTAACGTATTTTTTTACTTATGTGCATTTACGTCGATCCATATTTGAGCACAAATATTTATATTGCCTGCAGTGACTAGATTGTATGCTCTCTAATTAACTACAATGTACTCGTATGTAACAAATTAAATTTCAATTTTATACATATAATTTTATTTGGCTATAATAACTTATAGAAATTTGACTTAAGTTCGTTGAAATGACCACACTAACAATAAACCGGTATATACATACATATACAAAGTAATTCGTTTATCATAATCCACTTAATTATTCAACAAATTGTCGTAACACAATAAAAGGAAACGGAGGTGAATGTAATGGTGATGTGTACGAAGATAAAGATGAGAATGTGATGCCTGCTGTCTAAGTATTCACGTGCGTGTTGTCGTACAGCAATCACGGTGCTCGGCTGACACTCCGGGTTAGCTGTGGGTGTCGAAAGGCTGTCGTTATAGAAAGAGAATAAGGGTAACAACTAGGTATGAGGTGCAGACGAAATGCAAGACACAAATACTAGGCGTACCAGGTAAGGAAAAATAACAGAGTACGAGGTGCAGACGAAGTGCAAGACACAAGTACTCTGAAATGTTGTGGAAGAGAGTAGATAGGTTTAAAAAGGAATAAACAAAGACTTTACTTTAAACAGTAAGCCGGACAGGCTGGTGAATGACACAAGGCATTGGAGTCGACTGACCACGATGGTCTTTTGAGTTTTTATAATAATTAGAACTATTGCCAATTTGGCAATAAATATTATTTGTTAATTCATCAGTCTCAGGAAGCGGATATGCTGTCTGTATTTTATTAAAATAATTCTCACAATAATGGTAACGTGACACCATCACAAAATAATTACATCATCGAAAAAAACATTAAAAATTTTTTTTTGTTATCATTAATCATTTTTAACTGACAAACTGTGTAACTTATGAGACTATCAACTAAGNGACAAACTGTGTAACTTATGAGACTATCAACTAAGTTTTAGCTTCGATGCGAAGATGAAAAGGTATTAATTTTACTATGATGTGTTTTTTTTATTTATTTATTTTTCTTTTTGTGTGTGTTACAACTTTTTCTCAGATCTCTTCGAACGGATTTCTTTCAACGATACGTCAAAAGATCACAAAACGTTTCTAGTCGAACATATTACCCTCAAAATATACAATGACAAAATTTTTACTTTACTTTATAAAAATAATAAATGTGTAATGAATAAAAAAAAAATAATATTTTTCTCATTCATTTTTGAATTATTTATAATAGCAAACACACAAATAAAATTAATTGTATGTATTACTAAAATTTATAAATTTTTTCAGCTTGATAGTAACACAAATACATTATGATATAAATCTACTTTATATAATACCATTTATTTCAATAAAATGTTATGTTATAATTAGTATGTTTTTAATGTTAATTATAAACATTTAGAAACATTTAGCCATAAAAAAAAATGTATTAGTTATAGTAATTCTATGTCGGTCAAATCGAAATAACTAAAAAATTATTATAATTGTAACTTTTTATTATAATAACTGACACGGCCCCCGTCGCTTCGTTATACACGATNTGACACGGCCCGCGTCGCTTCGTTATACACGATGCCCCGCGACTCGTGCCACCTTTATCAGCCGTCGCCCTACTATGAGTATTTGACTGACCAACACCGCGTGTTATACGCTACGGTGCAAAGTCCAGCAAATGCCGCACGGCCGACGACGACCCGCCGCAAATGGTGCGAGAGTCTTCCTCCCGTTGTGAAAGCGACAACGTCGACAGCCGAACCGCACCCGCGCACCGTCGCCTACAACGCTGCTAACCATTTTGCCGTCCAAGGATTACGCCGAACATCGCGTCGTCGACGCCAGCGAAAGTGCCGCGATATTATGCGAAGATTATTATTACTGTGTTTATCTTTTCGGTTTGTTTTATTTTTGTTAACATAATCTGTTGTCGCTCATTTAATAAACGGCCCACGGGTCTCTACCCTCAAAACCAGTGTCGACCATATTTTTGCGACGCAAGTCGTGTCATAACTTATTCGAAAGAATACTATTTAATTTTCTCATAAAAGAAATCAATATACTTTTTTGATTTATTTAAATTTTATTTTTTGAATGGCAACAAACATATTTAACTAACTTTAATTAAATAAATTTCCCTCGTTTCCCGTAAATGGGGGAAACCTCCAAAAAAATTTTCTAAAAAAAATCGCTAATTTTCGAAATTTTTTCAATTTCTTTTACTTAAAACTGCTATAACTTTTTCAAAAAATCAATATAATTTTTATTTTTTATAGATGTTTGATGTCTTTACCTATCATTTGTTATATTTTTTTTATAAATTTAACCATTTACTAGCCCACAAGGGGGTATTCAAAATGACAACTTTTTCACAAAAATTAACTTTTCAACTTAATTTTTGAAAGTGTTCCGGGAATACTGACACTTTTTTATATATATATTAAATTAAAACTAATTAAATGTACTTTATTATGAAAAAAATTAATTACGGACTTTATTTTATTTTCACGGTGAAAACAGACATCAAACTTAATAAAAAAATATGATTTTTGTAAAAAAATTCTTTTTTATATGTTTAACTTAAAAATGCTATAACTTTTTGAAAGATGTATGGATCAATATAATTCATTTTTTTATAGATGCATGATGTCTTTACCTATCATTTGGTATATTTTTTTTTTATATCTGACCCTTTACCTGCCCACAGGGGGGGATTTAAAATAGCAACTTTTTCACAACAAATTTACTTTTACACTTAAATTTTGAAAGTGTTCCGGAAAGTCTGACACTTTTATATATATCTTAAATTAAAGCTAATGTAATTTCATCAAAGTTAATAAAAAAATTATTTTTCATATTTTTAACTTTATAACGCTATAACTTTTTAAAAAATTTATGGATCAATGAAATGTTTTGTGTAGTGTTTCTGTGTCAGTCAAATCGAAATAACTTTAAAATTATTATAATTGTATCTTTTTAATATAATAACATATTCGAAAGAATACTATTTAATTCTCTCATAAAAGAAATCAATATACTTTTTTTATTTATTTAAATTTTATTTTTTGAATGGCAACAAACATATTTAACTAACTTATAAAATATCCCTGGATCAGTGCTATTAACATTCTTTAAAACAGACATTTATGAAATATGGATCTAAAAACCTTTTTAGCTTCGATGCGAAGATGAAAAGGTATTAATTTTACTATGATGTGTTTTTTTTATTTATTTATTTTTCTTTTTGTGTGTGTTACAACTTTTTGTCAGCTCTCACCGAACCGATTACTTTCAACAATACGTCAAAAAATCACAAATTGTATCAAGCCGAAAACATTACCCTTAAAAATTGAAAAAATTTCCTTTGTTCCTCGTAAATGGGGGAAATCATTTGGTATATTTTTTTTATAAATCTGACTCTTTACGTGCCCACTGGGGGGATTCAAAATGACAAATTTTTTAATTAGTTCAAAAAAATCATTAAATTTAATTCTGTTCTGGATATTTCAATTATATTAAAGGTGATATTACTTTTGCAATATTTAATAAAATTCTTTTTAGTTGTTTAGTTATTTTACTGCGATAATGTTAATAAGCATTTTCATGCTAATGAGTAAATATTAATGTAAATTACCCATCAAATTTTTTGTAATTCAGTTGATCGTGCACAAAAGTGAATGTTGCAAAAAAATTTCTTGTGAGACATAGTAAAATCCATGGCGAGAAACGATTTGATTGTCATTTATGTCCATCTACTTTTTTAGATAAAGACGGACTTATTCAAAAGATATATCGTAAGTATTACAATTATTATTATTGTTTAAGAAATAATAATATTAAAAGCAGTGGTGTAGTCCTTAAAATGTTTATGGGTATACGCCTATATTATGAATAGAGATAACGTGGGGGGCTCCGCCCCCCACAC